CACACACACACACACACACACACACACACACACAGACGTACCATTGTATATGGAGGTTATTCCATAAATGAATGGATCTGAATTGCATGACCATCTCAAATTGTCACTCACTGTATACTCACTGATAGTCAGAATACCACTTTTTCAGGCCAATGAATCCCCCAAGATATTCCCTCTGTTTGCTCTCAGAATCTATGCATCTGGATTTACAGAGCTGAGGTCCAAATTGGGCAAAATGTCTTTCAAAATCACTTCCCTTCCCTTTATTTTCTAGTGCAATATGAGTTAATAACCCCAAGAGTTTTGTGAAAGGGAGGCTGATGGTTTCCTAGGTTATAAAACATGCCAGACTTCTTAGGGAAGCATTCAATGGGTGAGTGGGGACAACGTACTAGAAATCACATTCCTGATTCTAGCTTGAACCATCTGTGTCATCCACCTGGAGCTGTCAGAACAGCTTGAGAACTGCACTACTCTGGTTCCTCCTGCACAAAGCCCACGATCCCTCATGGGGGTGGGGAGGTTTAGACCACAGCCAGAGTCTCAGTGTTCTTCCAACTGGCCAACTGCTGGCAGACCCATAAACTTGAGGTGAATAATCTTGAGGTGGACGAAGGCCTGACAGATCATTGCTGTCCGGAACACTTCCCAGTCCTTAGTCCTGTCCATTTCCCAAATGGGAAGACTGCAGAATGGGAAGGCTATCAGGGTTCTACCATGGGCAAACCTGATTTCAAAATTCAGGCTTAGCTTTCAGTCATCTGCTTGTATGTCTATGTATTAATTCATTTACTTAGGTGAATCCATTTGGACTCATTTTCTTTTCCTTATTCTTAAATATTCTTCATGAAAAAACATTCATAAAGGATATTGTTAAAAGCAAATCAAATTAAATGTCAGGGAGGAAACTAGAAATTAGAGCACTAACTCCACTCATCTTGAAAGAAATGCTTTCTGGTGTCCCTCCAGGTCACATTGGAGCAATGAAGATGAGTGAAGACAAGGGATAGAAGAATGGGAGAAAAACACGAGGCTCTGGGGCAAAGAAGAAAGAGGGAAGAAAAAGGGTGGACAAAACAAACACAGAGGTGCAGAGGCAAGGGAGAAATACAAAGAATTGAAGAAAAATGTTAAGAAGTGAAGTGAAGAGGCCAACAGACAGATCCCTTCTGGTTTTTCCCCTCTTGTTCTTTGAAAATTTTATTTTGTCCAAGAAATTTAATTCTCTGATTAGAACTGCTTATAATTTTACAGACACATCCTAGAATAACATCCAGATCCCTTTTCTCTCATCCCCTATGTGCCCTCTCCCACCTCCTCTACCTTCTGTAGCAATAAAGGCCAACATTGGCCTTGCTTTCCTATTATCTCAGAAGCAGATGTCACCCTGAAGCCCCACTTTTTCCTTTCTTGACCAGGCACTGCTCCCTCGAGCACATTGGTGCCACGATGGGTTTATTCTTTGCTTGTGCACCTTAAAGCCACTACCTCTTGAACCCATTTGGTTTCTGCATCAAATAACCCCTCTCCTTACACATACAACATCCTTTACCAGGCCCTGCTTCTCTGAGTGATGGCAGACACTCGACTGATGAAAGCTCCACCTACATTCCCAATAATGTTTAGGAAATGTAATATTTCCTAGGATGGTGAAATCCCCGGTGCAAATTATCTTGACATAACTCCTACTCAGAGAAGAGGTGACTGAGAGCATACCATTGGCTTTTAATATATACATATTTGATTGAGTTTTGCATGTGTATGAGTCTAATCAACCTCTATAGAACCAATAGAGTTTTATAAGCTTATATGTACACATATACATACACATAAATCTATCTTTTGGCACTATATTTATGCTTAGGGATTGTTGTTCTCAAATTGACATAGAAGACAAATAGCATGATCTTGCCATTTGCTGTTGGAGGTGGCATTGTCAGGAAATGGCAAATCCAGAGAAACACAGATCAGAAGGAATGAGACTGTATAACAAAATAAGCATTTCTTACAACAAACCAACCTGTCCATTTCCCTAAGTAAACCTCTATGATCTGTACACCCTTATTAAATAATCTTATTAAATAGGCACATAAAATATACACATATACAGTTATTAAATAAGCAACACAAATCCTCTTCTATCTGCAGCCACACTCAGAAACAGCCATGCCTTCATATTTAAACTTGTAAGTGACAACACCTTTGTCTAAATAGAGGATGGAGATGGGCTCCAGCTTGGTGGGCACACAGCAGGCTTTGGAAGCCTTCTGGGAATTCTTGAGGTGGACCAAGGCCTGGATAATCGCATGTTTTGTGGGTGTGAGATGCTCTGCCAGGGGGTAGTTGCAAACACCACGGCACTCGTAGGCTTCATATCCAGGCGGGGCGATGATCCAAGAGTCCCAGCCAATCTCCTTGAAGTCGATGTAGAGCGGGGTCCTCTTGCAGTAGTTTCCTTTGGCATTCCTTCTGATGCGGGCAGTGGAGTCATAGATGATGTTTGACCTCATCTGCAGCAGAGCCTCTTCCCCAGGACCACTGGAATAACCATCCAGGCCCTGGTTGTCCAGCTCCAGAAGTTGCTCATGGGTGATCATTTCACTCAGTTCCTCTTTCTCTTCCTTCTCACTGCTTTGGTCATCAGAAAACACAACAATCAAAGGGACATGCTTATTCTGGGCGCTGGTGTCTATTTCCAGTTGTCCCCTGCCAGTGCCCTCAGTTTCGTCGTGTCTGCTCTCAATGTGGACTTCCAGCTGGTGGGTGGATGAACCTGACTTTTGCCAACGTCTGATGGCACTGGTGACGTCAAAAGTTTCCCACTCACTGTTGGTTCCATAGATCTCCTCTGACACCAAGACCAACATGTTTCTTTCACTCTCATTGTCCTCTGTGCTCTCAAGTACTTCAAAAATTGTAATTTTCCGGTCCACTCCATCATATATCATGCGATCTCTTTGCACCAGTGTGTACAACCTAAGTTCAGCCATGATGACCTCTTCATGGTGGGGGATGGACACATTGAAGAGGAGAGGGTATTTTCTGAGCCCATTAAAACTGGCTGGTTGGGAAAACAACTCTAAAAAAAAGACAAAAGTGACATTTACAGTATGTCACAGAGAAAAACAGACATTTATGTCATAAGAAGGCTTGTCTATGAAGGAAATTTGATTCAGAGAGAATAAGGGGATATAAATGAAAACAAACACAATGTTAGCATTCTATGACACAGAAAACACTGAAAGGTCAATGGTAGAATATTAGACTGAGTTAAGCTGCCAAGACTAAACTGGAAAATGGCAGTCTAATGAATTGTGAAAAACTCACCCAGCCTTGCTTGCTAGCTTGTCAGCCACAGAATTATAGCACTGGTGTGGGCAAGTCCCCAATTTTTCTAACCAGTGAAGAGATAGCAAATGAAACATGTTATGGTTGTTCTTTTCTTTCTAAAAAAAGTTTATTGATTGATTGATTTTGAGAGATAGAGAGAGACTTCGATTTGTGTTCCACTTATTTATGTATTTATTGCTTGGCTCTTGTATTGCCTTGACCAGAGATTGAACCCTAAACCTTGGTGTATCAGGACCATGCTCTATCCCGCCAGGGCAATTGGTCTTTTCTTGACACTTTTCAGAGGGCCTCATGGTTTGTCATATTTGCATGTAATGGGTGGAGTCCCCACATAGCTGGTTGGCACTGTTCTTCCTAAAGACCTTCACCTAGACCAGAGGTTGGTAAACTATATTCCATGGGTCACCAGTCTTAGAAATAAAGTATTATTGGAACACAGCCTCACCCACTCCTTCTGTATTGTCTGTGATGATGGTTGCGCTACAATGGCATAGCTAAATAGTCCCAAGAGAGAAAAATCCTATATAATAAAAGCCTGATATGCTAAGTGTCTGGTCAGCTGTTCAACCAATCAAAGTATAATATGCTAATGATATGCTAAGGCCTCTCAACCACTCACTATGACGTACACTGACCACCAGGGGGCAGACAGTCAACCGGTTGACAAGTTGCTATGATGTGCACTGACCACAAGGGGGCAGACTCTCCGACTGGTAGGTAGCTTGCTGCTGGGGTCTGGCCAATCAGGACTGAGT